GTTCACCCACAGTTGTGTGTGGTTCGGTGGTTGAGGCTGGTGGGCAAAGAAATAAGCTGCGTTGGTTGCCAAGTTTTGGTCTATTGCCTCATTGGAAAATGAAAGATGGAGGATGAAAGATGAAAGCTACAATGACAGGATAGACGAAATGAAGCCTTTGTGGTGGTCTTAAGACCAAGGGTGGTGGTTGGCGTTGGCCATGCTGGGGACGCCCTCAACTGCTTTGCCCCGGATTTGCTCCGTCACCAGGAGAAGAAATGGATACAAGAACGGACACTTCCCGCCGCAAGTATAACCCCTATCATCTGCTAGATGAAGCCTGCAATTTCCAGCCCATTCTTACTGAGGCGGCGAGTACAGCGGCCGTATTGTTTGACGCTCCCCAAGCACATGTACTTTACCGTTATCCCCGATCCCCGATCTTGGGCCGATACGGCCTCCTATATCTGGCCCACTTGACCGTCCGTTGCTCGGCCACTGTCTGCTGATGAGGCACAAGCCACGTGTTTGCCCCGCGGCGTACGTTCGCACCGTCCCCGCCGACTTGCTCCGTCGATTGCTCCGTTGATTGCTCCGTCATTTGCTCCGTCGACTGCCCCATCTGCCAGCTTCCACTTCCGCCCGCACCCGCCGAGGGCTCTTCTTCTTCATATCAGATACCTACTAGATAGTAGAAGCCGTCCGGGATACAACCTCCCTTGGCCAAGCAAAGCTATACCCCTCTCAGCAGGAGAAGCTTGCCGTCGATGGATCATCTGGAGCCACCAGCCTACACAGAACCGCCGAGCCTGCCCCATCAGCAGCCCGGCACTGCCGCCGGAGACTCGCTGCCGCAACTGCGAGATCGCCGGCGCGAGAAGCCGCTTCTGTCATGTACCTTTTGCAGGAGTCGCAAGTAAAAATCACTGGCCCGTCGCCCTCTCAAACGGCTATGAGACTGACGGACAGCCCCCAGGGTGCGGTGTGACCGTCAGCTACCATGCAAGACCTGCACGAGCAGGGGAATCGGCTTGTCCTGCACTTATGAGTTGGGTGGGTCACGCAAGGGCAAGAGCAAAGTCAGCGTCGGTGATCGTATCCAGCAGCTCGAGGACCTCGTGCGCTCTCTAGTCGGGCAGCAGCAGCAGCAGCAGCAGACGCCGGCCGCGCATCTTCAAGACGTTTCGGAGCATTCGTCCCAGGCCTCGCCGACCGCGTCGCCGCAGAGTGTCCCTACGACCCCGCTGGCATCATCGGTCGACAAGGACGCGCTCGTGCCGGCCCAGAGCCATGCGTCCATGTCGCGGAGCAGAGACCGTGCCGGCTCCCCCGCACCCTCGGAGCCTGGCAGCATGCGTCTGCACTCGCATGGTGTTGGTGCCAGCTACGTCGGGAGTGTTCACTGGGCCGCCGTCCTCGACAGTATCTCAGAGCTTAGAGACCACTACGAGGAGGAGGAGGAGGCCCGAATGCTGGCCACCAGCGACCATGTACTGCTCCAAAGCCCAGGCCCTCGACTGCTATACGAGCCCATCCAATCCACAAAAGCCCATCTTCTTGCTTCAATCCCGGCCCGGCCCGTTGTGGACCGCATGGTCGCACGGTACTTCAACGCAGAAGGGGTCGTGCCGGCAATACTTCACAGTGGACATTTTCTCCGAGAGGTACGGTGCTTGCTGCATGATGGAGTGTAATGCCTACTGTCCATGGGCATGTACATACATCTCCTTCCCAGTGCCATCCCCTCTCCTACTATCTTTACCACCTTGCTTCTCCTTCTGCTTTTTCTCCGAATTCTCCTCGTTGGCTGACAGTATGAACCACCTTGATAGTACGAGAAGTTCTGGCAGGAGCCAGCTGCCATGTCGTGCATCTGGATTGGACTCTTATTTAGCGTAATGTGCGTCGCCACATTATACCAACAGTCGATTGAGGACCCAGCAGACCCGGAAACTCCAGAACGCGTGCGCGTGTTTCGGGAACAGACTCTTCACAGCCTGATCCTCGGCCAGTACACCAGGGGCGGGGAATACGTGCTCGAAACCATGATCAACTATCTCATCTGTGAGTCGTTCATAGCCCAGGATACTGAGATTGGGCTCTGGCTTGTACAAGGCATCATCGTGCAGCTCGCGATGAGTCAGGGCTACCACCGAGAGCCCGAGAAGTTCCCCAGTATTTCCCCATTTGCCGGTGAGATGCGGCGGCGGGTGTGGGCCATCATCGTGCAGATGGATCTTCGTCTTTCAAGCCAGTTGGCGCTGCCATGCGTACTCAAGTTGCAGCAGTACGACACAGCCGAGCCGCGGAACCTGCTGGACACAGACTTCGATGACACTACCGTCGAGCTGCCCCCATCGCGTCCCGAGACTGAGGTCACGCCCGTACTCTATAGCTTAGCCAAGAGCAGGGTAGACAAGATGATGGGGCTGGTCAACGACGTCGTCAACGACACCCAGGAGCACCCGTACACGGAGATTATGGAGCTGGACCGGAAGCTGCAAGAGGCCGAGGCCTCACTGCCACCAATCTTCCGATGGCAGCCTCTCAGCCAATCCTTCATGGTGGCACCCCAGGTTGTCATGCACCGCGTGTTGCTCCAGCTCGCCATACAGAGGCTGACAATTTGGCTTCACCGCAAGTACCTCGCTCCGCCCTATACCCAGCCGCGCTACCAATACTCACGTAACGCTTGCGTCCAGGCGGCCATCAAGATCCTGGAGTTCCAGCAGATAGTGATGGAGGAAACACAGGGAGATGGGCTGCTGTATCCCGCGAGGTGGGCGCGGTGGATGCTCCTGTCCTCGCGGCCGCGGGCCGTCTTCTTGCTGGGCGTCAGCATCCTCTGCTACTATATACAGCTGGCCAAGTCCCGGCCGGACGTTTCTCTGGACCAGGCCACGGGCGCCAAGATTCACAATCTACTACGCAACGCGTATCCCCTCTGGCTGCACTCGACCACCGTATCTCGGGAAGCCCGGCGGGCGATTGACCACCTGAGTCTTATGTTGGGGCTGCAGGAACAAGACAGCGGCACACCTCTCACTGGCTCTGCCACTGCCACGCCTCAAGGCACAGATATGTCGCTTGATCAGTTCACTTGGGACGCATACGAAGGTAAGCTGCCGAGTTACTACCGCTAAATGATCCCTGGCGGTGTTGCCCAATGCCCGTCCTGTTCCCTTCTTTCCCTTGGTCTCTGCCAACCTTCCGCCCTAATATTTGCCTCCCCATCAGCCTCAATAACGAACACGTTCTGCCTCAGAGACTGACTTTTTTCCAGAGTGTATCGCCAGCTTCCCAGCAACGACAGCGTTCGGTGGCGAATTCATGGGGCCGAGCCTGCCCGGTTCCTCTTCAGCGACGAGCATCTCTACAGCGGATCTTCTGTCAATGAACTTGAACACCCCAGAGTCGGGCGACTGGATGGACAGAGGAGCATTTAGACCATGAATGGTAGGACCCTGGTGGGTATTGGAAGGCGACACATTGTCTGTCACTCGGCCATACTCGCCCTTGTGCTTACATTCTATTACACAGTCGGAGGCAACATAGCCTATGGACGAGAAGGAAAAAACAAGAACCAGCCCTACAACTATCTCCGTTATATGGCTCCATTAGTGCAGTCGCGAGCATGTTCGCCAGCATGTATGTAGGGGTTACATTTCTGTATCTATCTGTTACCAGTTAGTCGCAAAACCTGTGGAACACCACGGAAAGCGGCATGCGTTTCCATTGACTATTTTGCGCCTATTATATACACATAGAAAAATATGAATAACTAGCTAGAAAGAAAAGAAAGAAAACACTGTAATGAGAAAGCTATAGCAAACAGTTTTGCTATGTGCCGTTTGTTGTGTTACAGGGGTTGTGGCGGCTGTAGAGCTGATTCTATGTTGTTGATTTACCTACCCTATAATTCCAGGTATATTTTCAAAAAGCAGCCAAAATAAAGTCGTTTTTATCGAGTAGCCTTATGAAAAGATAACAAGTAATTACTCACATTGTGCCCAAGCTCAATTCTTATTTTCCTTAAAAAAGATTTATAGTTGCGGCTGAAAAGGACCATAATCGCATTCGTAAAGTATTTTTCACCTGTCACAGCCCAAGTTCAGCAGATTTCTACAAGGCCAACCAGTAGGTACACGACTACATGTAATTACAGGTATTTACGAACCCCTTGCTAACGCAGTAGTACATGCAAGGGACAGATTGAAAAGTAAGCAAGTAAGTACCCAATCCCTCGTGGCTTGCACAGTATCTCCAAAATGTGGGACTAGTAGCGAAGCTACGCCGGATACTGTTCAAGCCGTCTCGTCCCTTTATGCAATGTAAATCAGCCGGCTGAAAGGTATTCGGGTGAATTGCATTAGAGCCTCGGCGTGATTTTCGCGATTTTCCAAAGTTCTTCGGAATTCTAGAATAACACTGCAGCGGGCGTTTAAAATCGATTAAAAATGCAATGCGCAGTTAAGATGAGTCGTTCGACATCACACGGGTAGTCTCCTCCCGTTCCTTGATCCTCATAGTGCCGACGTGACAAGGACCACTGGCCAGGCAATGAAAGGATCGACTCAGCGCTGCTCCTGAAAGCAGCTGATGATGCCATACTTCCGAATTTCCAGTCAATAATCTGTAAATGGGTTGTTGTCAACAGTCATGTATCCGTATCGGAGCGTCAGCCGAAATCCTCCTCCTCCGAACTTCTCCGGTCAAAGCCCCTGTAATGCAACTCAAAGTTGGCTGGTAAGCGTAACGTGATTGCAACATAGTGCCATGCAAAGCGGCATACATCCTCCGGCATATCGGAACGGCAACACCGCAGCTAGATCGTGATCGAAAGATTTACTGCCTCTCATTTTCATGTAAATATCCAATCTCCAGACCGAAATCCCATCTTTTCTTCTACACTATTCCCCGTTTCGGGCCAATCAAATCATTGCTGTATTCACTTCAACAGACGAATAAAAAGCATACAATTCAATCACCCAAGTTATAACAGAACTACCAAACCGTCGAAAATGGTTCTCTGCGAGAATGTTATTTACACCAAGGCTAGCGCCGGACAGCTATGCAAGGTATGCAGGTGGGAGGCCATCCCAACGTCATCTTGGTGATTGGCCTGGATCTGGTGACAGAGAGAGAAGTGGCTAAAAGTCACCACAGGCTATGGTCCTCAGACTGGTGACGAATCCCCTCGTCGTCCAGTTTGTTAGAAACGCCGGCTTCGATGTTGTGTGGGTTGAGATGGAGCACTCGACCTACTCCATTACTGAAGCCAGCATGCTCGCGAGCGCGGCCATGATGGCCGGCATGACGCCCATTGTTCGCGTGCCGTACCAGTGCGGCATGGGTTACGTTCAGCAGGTCCTGGACTCTGGGGCCATGATGGTCGTCTTCCCGCACATAGTCTCGGCTGCGGAGGCTAAGGAAGCCGTCAAGATGTGCAAGTTTCCCCCGTATGGGAAGCGGTCGCTGTGGCTCCAGCAGGCTGCCGTGGGCCTCCGTACCATGCCGATGCAGATGATGGCCGACGAGGTCAACTCAATGGCGTCGGCTGTAGGCGTCATGATCGAGGCCGAAGAGAGCATTATAAATGTCGACGCCATTGCGGCGGTTGATGGCGTCGACGTTCTCATAGTCGGCTGCATCGACCTGTCGAGTGATATGGGTATCCCCGGCCAAATTGATGCACCCAAGTTCAAGGCTGCGCTCAAGGCCGTCAGCGTGGCATGCAAGCGCTACAACAAGGTCTTCGGACTGGCTGGTAACTATAAGGACCTCGACTTCCAGGACTGGGTCATTAACACTCTGGGGGTTCGTCTGATACTGGCTCACGTGGACTCGAACCTCATCTCGGTCGGGGCGATGGAATGTGCAGAGAGGATAGCCACCATTGATCGAACCGTTGTGCATAACTAGGAAATAGATTGTGGGTGGATTCATGGGTTCATTTGTTATAGAAAGGAGTTTTCGTTACATGTTAGATATTCGTAAGATAGAGAGAAAAAATTGAACAAAGGTAGACTTTATTCAACGCTGGGCCTTGAGAACTCCTCTGCTTGTTGTGATCATGCAATTTCCTCCCTTTTGTCTTTATGCAGGGGCAGTGGCCCATTATTCGGTAGTACATATCTCACTAATGTGCACAATTACAATTACATCATGAGATCAAATCATTTGATATTATCGTATACTAGCTTGCCTACCCCCAAACTTGTACAAAAGACTTCATGTTTAATATTGGACATTGTAACATCAGAGCCCGAACCGCATTAATTGGAGCTACCTAGGTATGTTTAGAACATCTTGCCTAACTATTCTAAGGAGGGTCAAAAACTCTAGCTAACTCAATGCTAACCTTGGTAACTCTAATCCAGCTCTTCTGTTTCCTCTGCTGCTCTTTATACTCTATATGTTGATACAAGAGCTTGGGGTTAGGTACAGGACCACGCAACATGTGTGTAATTATACTCATAGAGCCTCTCAGGCCAACACAAACTCAAGCACACCAAAGTCATCAAATTCTCCCGCAATTTGCTGGAATTCCGCATTGAGCTTGAAACCAGCTTGCGCAGCCAATTCGCTGAACATGGCGGCGTTTCGCCTCTTGCCGGCAGCGCACATAAGACAGATGTCCAACCCGACATTCATGGGGATACGCTTTGGGTTCAGCATCTCCTCAATAATAAGAATGCGTGAATCGGGAGCCACTGCCTTTCGCACATTATGGAAGGCCCGCAGGACGTCCTCATCGGGGAAATCGTTGAGGATCCGGCGGAACTGGTAGATAAGGGCACCCTTGACGCTTTCGGGATACGGCTCGAACATGCTGCCGCTAATCATCTGGATCTTCTGCAGGTCCTCGTCCTGTTCCTTCTCGACGTTTTTCTTGGTGTTCTCAATAACTTGTGGGAGATCGAAGAGAACGCAGCGCTCGGCGGGGAGAAAGTTGTTGTTGCGGATTGCATCACGCAGGGCGAGACCGTGGCTCCCACCGATATCCACGATAGCCGCTCGCGACGGCCCAGCAGCAAGAGGCTCCCTCAGCCAGCCGAAATCGTAGATGCCCTTGAGTGAGTACATGACTCCGAGCGCCTTGAGCGCTTCATTGAATCCCTTATGCACGACTTTGTTCTCAACGAGGATCTCGTAAGCGGGCCTGTTCTCGAAGCCGTGGCTAAGGCCAAGAGGTGTGACGCTGGCGCTCTGTGGCGAAGCCAAGCCATTCTTCTGGAAGAAGTTTGGCATCTGGGCGAAGGAACGGAACACATTGTTGAACATGTGAATGTAGAGCCAGGCGGTAGGCTCGTCGTACTTGTAAAGACGAGACCTTTCCGTGTGAGCGACGCGGCCAGGGCCTGTAGATGCGAGGACCTTGCCGGAGATGAAGAAGGTGGTCATACGATCGATCACTTCGTGTGTGCCACCGATTTTGGCGGCTAAGTCGGCCACGGAGATGTCACCCTCATCCGGGATGGCATCGAAGCCCTTGTAGTCGATGAAGACCTTGATGAGTGTGAACTCAGCGGCAGAGAAGACTGGGTCGCCGATGTCGTGGTACGCCCGTTGAACGCGGGCACGAGCATCCTCTGTGTTTGATTCCATTTTTTCTGATGTTTGTGTTGTCTTTGTTTTTGACTTCTTCTTGGACAGCAGAGAGGAAATGATTTGATCTTGTGGAGACGACGAGTACTGCTTCTGTAATTAATATCTCTCAACTCTCAATCATCTTTACAGTCGTGGCTCGGGGCTTTTCGGTGGAGAGGTATTCGCATGCAACCCGATCGGTGCCGGTTGCGGCAATCTTTGATCGGAGGTTCGTTCATTCATGGAACACGTCTGTTGCAGCGGCCGACGGAGAAAATTCATGGTTTTTGTTGGGTGTAACTCAGAAGCCCGGCGGTGTATGGTTCATAACCATTCTCCTACTATGTACCAACCTTGTGTTGATACGAGCCTACTACAGTCGTTACTTTCCTAACCAGCTTGCCAGATAAAATCGTGCTTACTAGAGGTTGTTTTGAGGGCTCCTCGACTCGCCTGTCCTAGCTGCACTGAACTAAGATTTGAAGAGATAGACTCCTCCCTTGGACTGACACACAGTTCAAGTTAAAGACTGACTAATTTTCGGCTCAAGAGGTCCCTGGACTGTCGTCCTCTAGGATTTGTCTACGAATTAGAATTGTAACTGTTCATCCTCCGGGGCTACCTCTGCTAGGTTGCCACAGTTGGCTGGTGACGCTTATCCTGACATGAGCATTCTCATGCAGTCCCCTGGTCCGTCCATCTGCTTTCCGCAAACAGATATATATATGCCTAAACTACGGAGTATCGCTGTCATGATCTCGCATAAAATAGCCAATCAAAGCCCTAGTTGCTGAAACTAACAAGCAATGGCTCAGAATCTAATTGTTCTTTCTCACACGCGTGCGTGGCGTGATTGACTCGTACTATTAAGTCTCTTCGGCTTCGTTCAGAAGGCCAAGGATCAAATTCTCCAAAAACAAAAAGATTCATGAATTCTCTCATCGTGATGCAGGCGGTATTCGGCGAGGGTTGATGACGGAGGTTCGGAATATGCACGGCAATAAGTAATATTTGCGCCGCTACCGAAATACTCCGGCAACGCGAAAATGCCGAGTTAATCCTCACCTACTCACATTCTTGCAATGCACATCCATCATCACTATTTGCCCGATATCGAGCTCCCACGGATGAAAATAGTGTACAGGTATGGGGGGTCATGTCCAGGTCAGGGTACACCTTGCGACCTAGCGCGGCTCTGTATGTATTCCGCATAAGTAAGGATCTTGCGTCCACCTGGGCTTAGAGTGATTCAATTTATCCCATATTTTGACAGTATCATCTATCACCTTGTTTACTCTTCTTGTGGGATTTTAGCATATCTCTCTGCTTCGATTATGGCACTACTCGAACAGATTCCAGCTGCTGTGCCCGATAACACATTTGTCCTGATCGAAGCATTTAAAGCCGATACTGAGAAGAAGAAAGTAAACCTGAGCCCTGGTATTTACCGCGACGACAATGCAAAGACATGGGTTCTACCCTCCGTAAAGAAGGTAACTAATCCCCCTTGATCACAGAACTGTCCAGATCTTCAAGCCCAAGATTACTTGGAAAGATTTCCTGCGTGCGAATTCCTCTACTCCTTTATAATTACCCAATAATTCAGACTATCCTTCTCTTTACCTCGCCTTGTGAGTTCGATGGGTTAGGCCACACGACACTGACCTCCCTCAGGCGAGAGAAATCCTCCAGGCAGACCCGCATCTCAACCATGATATCTCACCTCAGATGGGATACCCAGATCTGGTCTCCGTTGCGCGGCAGATTACCTTTGGGGATACGTTGGGTAGCCGTAGTATTACCTCGATGCAGACGATCGCAGGCACTGGTGCCAACTACCTGATTGCACGTTTTCTGACTTACGTCGCTCAACCCAAAACCATATGGCTGTCCAATCCTACCTGGGAGAACCACCCGAAGATCTGGAGACACACCAACCCCGCCATAGAACAGCGTTTATACCCCTATTATGACTACAAAACATCCACGCTAGATATTGAAGGCATGATCTCAACGATGAAGGAGCAAGCATCAAGAGGGGATGTCATAGTCCTCCAGGCGTGCGCGCACAACCCAACCGGTTTGGACCCTTCAAGGGAACAGTGGGAGGCCATCGCAAATGTATGCGAGGAAAAGGGCTTGTTCCCTATTCTTGATTCAGCTTAGTTCGTCTGTCACACCGCATTTAATGAGACGAGCGATCTCATGAGGGCCAGCTCGATAACTAACTTATCCTGCATTTGACAGTCAAGGCTTCGCAACAGGAGACATTGACAATGATGGTTGGGTGCTGCGTCATTTTGCCGCCCGCTCGAACGGCGCCATTGAGTTTGCGGTGGCCCAATCGTTCTCCAAGAACTTTGGTCTCTATGGAGAGCGAATCGGCGCTTTGCACGTTGTGACACGCAACCACGACACCGCAGCCAAAGTGGAGGCAACATTAAAACAGATCTCACGCGCCGAGATTACTTCCACGCCTGGCTTCGGGGCCAAGGTCGTCGCTACCATCGTTCAAAACCCAGAGCTGAGGAAACAATGGCAGCAAGACCTGAATACCATGAGCGGTCGGTTGAGGGACATGCGAAAACGACTGCACGACGAGTTAACGAAGAGAGAGACACCTGGTAACTGGCAGCATCTCTTGACCGATGTAAGCATCCATGGGTCTTCAAGTATCGATTTATGTAAGGCTAACTCGCAACTACGAAAAAGATTGGCATGTTCTCCATGACGGGATTATCTCAAGAGCAAGTGACAACTCTTAAAGACATGTTCCATGTCTACCTTCTTCCTACTGGTCGGCTTTCGTTCACAGGCTGTAAGTGACTACGCATTAAGACTATCGCTTTCTTTCGTTTTATCTCGGCTGACAGTTATCTCAAGTGACAACCGGAAACGTTGAATATGTTGCAGAGTCCATCCATCAAGTTTTAACATTGTAGATACCAATAAATGTCAGCAGCAGTCATTTGGTACGCGTGCGTGGGAGGAAATACCAGTTCTTATGAAGAGACAAAGTACGGCATCCGTTTTTTAGTTGGAAGTAGAGTCGTATTTCTCGCGGTGCAAGTGAAGCAACTTCCTCAAAGAAATCGTTCACCCAGAAGGCTTTCAGATAAATAGTCTGGTGTCATACTCTGTGCTTTCCAGTTTTAACTACAGAAATATTTGGTGATGCATTTGACTGAGCGGGAGAGTCGGGATAACACATTAAAGAGACGGTCCATTTTACGCCGACACCAATGGTACTGAATTTGATGATTACTTTGGCCATGTGTTCTGTCCCTCTGGGTTTCAGTCAATAGAACATGACTTCTTTGGAGCCTGCTACTGTATGGCTGTAAATTTCAACAACCCGCCTCCATGTTATAGGAGACTGTGCTCCTTTGAGGCGTGCCGCCGACCAAGCGATCCGAGTTCGAACCAGAACAGCAACGGAAGGATGTGTAGGAGCTCAATCTAGGCCCCTGCTCTATGTGTCCATGGAGCATGTTGGCAGCCTAGAGACCGTGTCCGCTGTTCTATCGGGATTGTCATGGTTTTTCGAGCGAGAAAGCATTGCCTGGATGCTGATCACAGCTTCAAAACCAGAGTCGAAAAGAAACAAGATTCGAATTGTCCACTAATAGACGCTGTTGAAGCTATCTTGGGTACCTCCTTACTTGTCGCAGCTTTTTGTGGAAGCATTGCTCAGTATTGTCTATCTCTTCTCATGCGATCTACAAGCCGTTTTGGTTCCGATTGTAAATGGGGAGATTCTGACCTGCTTTCATTATTGGCCTGCCCAAATCGCGTCCATCACTTTCTTCTCTTCAATTGCTTAAGTAGTCCGGAGCATATTAGACGCAGCGCTAGTTGCAATAGTCCTTCATTCACAATATCATCCAGGTCTATACAGTCTCTCTGGTTCTTATCGCATAGGGTGGGGAAAAGGGATGCTATTGCAGATGCATGATCTGACGAACCCAGGAATCTATATCGTAGGGTAACTTGGTGATGTACCAAGCCATAACACCAACAAGAGCATGTGACATCGAGTGCTACAGAGGTGATACCAAAGTAACGGGCAAAATGCCTAAGAAAATATACAAGTATTACTCTGTTATATATCCTACAAGTAAAATGAAGATCAAATAGGTTTATATATATATAATAAATTATGATAATAGTTTTATGAACTTTTTTTAAAAATTATAAGTTTACTCTCTTCCTCGATCTTAGTCCGCAAAGGGCCACTGCTTTCTCTGTGCGTTAACTCGAGCCAGCCATGCCTCCCGATCCCTAATGGATCTGGCCCTAACATGTGGTGAAAGGCGCCTGAAGGTGTTGGCGACTTGACCCTCAACGCTTTCGCTTACACCCAAACTCCTATTAATGTTCTTTGGCATGCTATTGTTGGAGCTCTCGCTCCCCGTCTTCCCGATGAGTCTATACTGGCACCGTTAGTCTTGCCATATATGACGGCGGCTGTGGTGGTGGTCAACGTACGATTTGTTCGTTTCGTTGGGGCGAGTGTTTGCAGATGGCTGGACGTGGTCTTCGGAGCTAACATTGAATGGCCGGCTATGATTTGGTGAGCACACCGTTAGCACGCAGGGGTGTGTACTACTTGACCCTGTGCAACTCACTGTGCGGGTGACTCGGTTACTGCAGATTTCCTCTGGGCACCGACATTTAAATATGCTCTCTGTGTCGTGTTGAAAGCCGAAGCTGCGGCTGAGGCGGCCGACGAGCTTGGAAGACATGAGTGGCATTGCCAGCTAGTCCTTTTCATAAAGAGGCTGGTCTTGGCGGAGCGGAGCATCATGACAAGGTGTGAGGAATGGCGTTGATTGAGAGTGTCACGAAGGTGAAAATTGTTACGGTCATGTAACAGCTGCTCTCAAGGGGGAAAATATAACGGTATACGATATTATTCATAGAAGGAACAAATGAAACGGTTTATATAGGAAAATTCAGGCCCGAAACCTGGGAAACGGTGGATAACCCTCGGAGAGCGACAAGTTGCGAGTAACACCGATAAACTGCGATTACAGTTTCTAACATGGGCCCCGGCGCCAACACGGAAAAACGGCAGTCAGCAGCGGCAGTATTGGAAAAGAGGCCATTGAAAAGACTCGGAGTTGGTTTATTCTTCTGTTAACTTCGATGAGTGTCTGTAAGTCGAAATAGTAGTCCTGTCGGTGCTTACAATGGCTTCTTGTGTCAATACTTTGGCCACTAAGGTTGCTGCCGGGCAGCTTTGCAAGGTATGCCCTGAACGCCCAGCCAAATGAGGCACAGGAACTCTCACAGCAGCTCTGAATCCGTCAATTCTAACCTGTTTCCCCTAGGCCTTTGGCATCAAGTTTAATACGAATCCCCAAGTCGTTCAGTTAGCAAAAAATGCCGGGTTCGATTCACTTTTCATCGATTTGGAGCACTCCACGCTGTCCATTGACGATGTAAGTCAGTTGTCTGTTGCTGGGCTGCTCGCAGGCATCACCCCTTTTGTCCGAGTCCCACACCAGTGTGGCAATGGCTTCGTCCAGAGAGTCCTGGATGGCGGTGCAATGGGCGTGATATTCCCACATATACATTCATCTCGTAAGTATCCCCGAATCCCCGCAACATGGTTTCGGAGCTCTAATGCCGTCATGTGTAGAGGACGCGAAAGCTGCCGTTTCCATTTCGAAGTACCCACCGGCGGGTTGCCGATCGATGACCGGCCAGCTGCCGGTATTTTCGCTCAGACCGATACCGCAAGACCGAGTCATTGAGGAAAGCAACAGATCCGCTTCGTCAGTCATCGTGATGATAGAGACCAAAGATGCCGTTGAGAATGTCGACGAGATTGCGGCAGTCGAGGGCGTCGACGTGCTCCTGGTCGGATCGAACGACCTGTCTATCGAATTGGGTGTACCAGGCGGCTTCCAGACGCCTGCTTTTCGCTCTGCTTTGGAATCGGTCAGTAAGGCTTGTAGGCGACATGGTAAGACAATGGGATTGGCTGGGTTATATGACAATTACGAAATCCAGAATTGGGCCATCAACACGCTACACGTCAGATACATGCTTTGCGCAATAGACTCGAGCCTCATTGCCAGCGGCGCTACGAGATGTATTGCTGCACTGCCCAACGTCGAAAGGGAGAGGTAGGGGGTAGGAAATGCTTTGTACGGGTTTGGGTTTGTTTGGGTTGTAGAAATCCTCAGTACCCTTTCGCAAAGATGCACGATACCACGCACTACGCAGCTGACAGGAGACTACATGTATTCGATATATTCTTTAGTAGTGACTCATGAGGTTCGTTTGGAACCTATCGATGGTTTACATGTCAATTAGAAGTTTGTAGTTTCGTAGAGCCTCAGATGGAGCCCCCGCAGGCCAGATGGTTATCTCTTGGCTACTAACTTGGAATTTGGCATTACGTTGAGATATATCTGTGGAATTGCATTTTGTGACGCTGAATACCGCATCTATTGGCCATGATATCTAGGTATCTACCTAGGTACGTTAATATCGAGATCGGCTGTTCCCAAGCTACCTACCTAGTAGTACCCTGTACACGAATAGGTACCTATTTACATGTACCAATCTCTCTCTACCCCACCGCTGAGCTGCCCGTTGCTCCTTCCTCCACACTCTCCATCTCAACCTCATTCTTCTCACAAGTTGTAGAGCAGCTTCTTGCCCGAGACTCTCCCAGTCCGAATATCATCCAAACCCTCCAATGCACCAGCCAATCCGTCATCGCGCACCAGCTGTGGATGGAAGCGGATGAGCTTTCGATCCACGAGGCCCTGCATTGTGCGACTCCAAACCTCGAGAAAGTCCTGGGCGATGCGGTTTGGCTTCCTGGTATGCGGCTCTGGCCAGGCGATCTCGTCGCCTAGGGGCTCGAGGCCAAAAACCCAGCTGGGACGAACAACGGCGCGTGTCGCTGCCACGGCGTCGCTGTAAGGATCGAGCGCCACGTAGCGGCCACCAAGGCGGCTCATGGCGGCATAGCAGAGGCGCGACGACTCGGGGGTGGTGACGCAGTCGATGGCCAAGCGCAGCAAGTTGCCTGTGTAGGCGCGAATCTCCTCGGCGGTTGTGGGCGAGGCATAGTCAAAGGTGGCATCGGCTCCGAACGAGCGCACTAAGTCGAAGCTGCGCGCAGAGCATGTCGCGATGACGGTGAATCCGGCCAGCTTGAGCAACTGGATGGCCGCCGTGCCTGTATAACTGGCCCCACCGCTGACCAGCACCGTCGTCACCGGCTTCGAGGTGTCATCACCAGAGCTGTGAGCTGTGACAATGTTGATCTTGGGCTCCAGCTGAGGTGGTGGGAGGCGGCTGTTGAGCGGCTCAAGCTGAGGCCCGGCCGGCAAGCCCATGGCGTGGAACAGCGCCCACGACGTCGTGATCCACGCGAGTCCTCCCATGCCGCCCGCCGCCTCCGCAAAGGTCCAATCTTCGGGGATCTTGAGGGCTCCCCACGCCGAGCACACCGTGTTCTCTGCAAAGGCCCCGACACTAGGCCGTAACGAGTTGAGCCCGATGACGGTGCCGGCGACCCGGTCTCCCTCCCGGAAGCCCCATTCCGCGGCAATCGGCCCCACTGCCGTTACCAACCCGGCAAAGTCGCATCCCAGAATGGCACCCTCGGTGTGGTAGGGACCCGTCATTTTCGTGTCGACTGGGTTGATTGAGATGGCCTTGACAGCCACGGCCAGCTCATGGTCTTGGAGCGGTCCCTGTGGGAGCGGAGCCGAGTTGGAAAGGATGATGTCGCCTTTGGGACCACCGACCAAGGCCGTCTGCGTCGTAGATGTGGCCGCCATTTTGCTTGTAAATGGTCCAGCTGAGTAACGAGACACACCGTCGAAACCGTTGAAAATTCTATAATTGCTTCTTCCGTCGAGTATTCATTAAAAATCGGTATATAAACTAGGTACGAAGCATCCTGCTGGAAATGAATGGGTTCAGCGACACCCTGTGTCTGTTTAATCAGTATTACCGAACGCTAACAAGCCCCCAGAAATCCTACTGAACATATAACGAAAAGATTGAATGTATACCGGGGCGTTCTTCATGCTGTTCTCAAGAGAGATGCTGTTGTTAACGCCAGCTTACCGCGTTGGCCGAAAAGCTCCGAAACACTCCGGCTGACGGCTCCCTTCGCCTGCTGCATCGATTCTGCCCTAGCCACACCGAGAAGGATTCAGATGCAAGGCAGAGAAGTGAGATGGTATACAGGCTGCACAGGCCTTCCCGACTATGGTATTTAAAACTCGGCGTTAATCGGGTTTGGCGTTAGTATTAGGATTTTCCGAGCCAACGAATAGCAGTCAAGGGCCAATGTTGAGTTCAGGCACAGAAGGCCACTCCGCCATGTGTAAGACGGAAAATATCGAGAAAAGTAGGCGTCTGATCTATCATCGTCAATCTCAGCTGTATCCGAAATCAGGTCGTGGCCTTTCCACTCAGCCCATTTTGCTCACGAGGGAAGCGCCGAGATCGCTGCCAAACGTCTCGTCTTACAGCCGATGGAAGAAGATGACCCACAGGCCAATCGATTCAATATGTCGAGCACAATCTAACCACTAACTTTAAGTGATCGCACTGGAGTTGCCAATATATCAACATCCCCAGCTCTTGCAATCATAACTCTAACCCTCCAACCAATCCAAGATTGGACAGACAGCTTGTCAAAGCTAGCATCGAATGTTAGTGCCTCCGTGATCCTTGCAGTCTAGTGTCGAGGCACGTTTCTTCAACACTTAAGCACAGGAAGACTTCAACACTCAAAGGCTTTTCACTTGACTCTGGTTCAGCCTCGACCTCTTAACACTTCTCCTGGTGCTTCATCCCTCCCATCCTGCCGTAGACAGTACGCAACTGAGGCACCGTCCGCCGTACATACTCAAAATGGCAGTGTCAGAGCAGGAGCCTATCGCCATCATTGGCATGGCATGCCGCTTCCCAGGCGGCTCAGACTCACCCTCAAAGCTATGGGACTTGATCCAGTCGCCACATGACCTCTCGAAGCGTGTTCCGACTGACCGTTTCGATTCAACCGGATTCTTCCACACCAATGGCTCCCAACACGGCGCCTTGAACGCGCCAAACGCATACTTCATCGAAGAAGACGTGACCCGGTTTGACAACACCTTCTTCAACATCCAACCGGCAGAAGCCGAGGCTATCGACCCACAGCAGCGCCTAGTCATGGAGACTGTTTACGACTCTCTGTACGTTGCTTCGTCTTTTTTAGTGTTTCTTGTCCTGGCTGACCCATTTGGCCCCCCATCTCCAGGTGCGCCGGTGGCCAAACCATTGAAGGTCTTCGGGGATCTAACACAGCCGTGTATGTTGGCATGATGTGTGACGACTGGGCTCAGATCGTTAATCGGGACTGGGACCTGGCCCCGACATATGCTGCCACGGGTGACAGCCGTGCCATCATCTCAAATCGAGTCTCCTACTTCTTCGACTGGCACGGACCTAGCATGACGATTGACACGGCCTGCTCGTCCTCGTTGGTGGCAGTTCACCAGGGTGTGACAGCCCTGCGAAACGGCGAATGCCCGATCGCCATTGCGGCCGGCGCCAACCTGATCGTGGCTCCTGGTGAGTTTCTGTTAGCGTTGCTACGGACAATGCTATTCTCGAGACGCGGAACTCGTTGATGCTGACACGACTGGACTTTCTCCACCATAGGCATGTTTATCAAAGAGAGCAGCCTTCGCATGCTGTCACCCACGGGCACCAGCAAGATGTGGGATGCTGCAGCTGACGGCTATGCTCGCGGTGAGGGCATTGCGGCTGTTGTGATGAAGCCGCTTAGTGCGGCGCTGAGAGACGGCGACCACATTGACTGCGTGATTCGCGGGACAGCTGGTAAGTTTCTCTTCTCCGCTATTATCATGTTTCTTTCTTTTTCCATAATGCATTTATTGTCAATTATTTGATTGCGGCACTAAATACACCTCGATCACCACAGTAAACCAGGACGGTAAGACGGCAGGTATGACGATGCCCAGCAACATTGCTCAGGCACAGCTCATCCAGGATACCTATGCGCGTGCCGGGCTCGACATCAACGATCCGAAAGATCGCCCCCAGTTCTTCCACGCGCACGGTACTGGCACGCAAGCCGGTGACCCGCAGGAATCGGAAGCCATCGCACGATCCTTGTTCGGGCATGGCAAGCCGACTGATACGCTATATGTGGGCTCTATCAAGACCGTTGTTGGGTGCGTTCTAAGCGACTCTTTGCCTCCAAGACTGTCCGTCTCACCATTTTATTGACACTTTGGCCTTCGGGCTCGCACAGACACACCGAGGGTGCCGCCGGTCTTGCCAGCGTGATTGGCTCTGTCATGGCCATGCAGCATGGCATAATCCCCCCCAATCTTCATTTCAAGAGGCTAAGCGACAAAGTCGCCCCGTTCTACGATAACCTCAAAATTCCTACGTCCGCCACGCCCTGGCCAAGTACGCTTCCCGGCCAACCGCGCCGAGTTAGTGTTAACAGTTTCGGTGAGTCTAAGATTGATAGAAGCTGAAGGCTAGTTGAGAATTGTTATGGAACTGACCGGCTCATGTTATGCCGTGGCAGGGTTCGGTGGCACCAATGCACATGCCATTCTCGAGTACTATGAGCCTCAAGCAGCGAACAACAAGGCTGCTGCTGCTGCTGTGCCAGCGTTTACGCCACTCACCATCTCGGCTGCTTCTTCATCTGCTATCCGGGCCACACTCGATGACCTACGAACCTACCTCCAAGGGAATCCGGACACTAACATGCGGGACTTGGCCTACACACTACAAACGCGCCGGTCGACGCTCCCTTTCCGCAAGCCCATCTTTGCCGCTAACATTAACGAGACTATCAAGAGGATTGATGGGCTGCTCGCCGACGCCGACGCCGGCGGTAGTGACCTGACTACTCGTTATTTCGACGTGTCCAAGCCCTCTATTCTCGGCGTGTTTACTGGCCAGGGAGCCCAGTGGGCGCGAATGGGAGCACGGCTGATCGAGGAATCGCCGTTCGCTGCCCAGCGCATTGCCGAGCTTCAGCGAGCCCTGGCCACGCTCCCCGACGGCGACCGGCCCGACTGGACGCTGAGCGGGCAACTCCTTGCCAACCCCAAGTCCTCCCGGATGTC